ACTGATTTTATTTTACTATTATTTTTCTCTCCACATTTTAATACTGTCTATTTATAACCATCACATGAAAATAATTATAGGCTTTTATGGTATCAAATCAACATTTATAATTTCCAAGATGGTAACTGACCACTGAACCTCATGTGCAATGAGATGGTATAGCTTATGACTGCTTAAAGTATTAACATTGCCTAATGCATCCTGTTTAACATTTTTTTTTTAAATAGCAGGCAGTATGAAGTATATCATGTACAATAAGCTAGTATACCATTCCAAACACAGCTTGTAGCTACATCTCTGACTGTAAGATTCATACCCTCCCTGTTTTCCAAAATAGAGCACAAAAGGTTTATAACACACTGAGCAAGCGAGAGAGAGTGAGTGAGAGAATAATAAATAAATCCACCTCTATACAGCATCCGTGAAGGTATCAGATTGCAGAAGGAACGCCTTTTATGGACACATAAATAGAAGAGCTCTCAGCAGATAATTTCAGATAGAACATTTACCAGATTTTGGCACATTGTTCTTCAGTATCTTACATTCCACATGCAAAAAAGTAACATACACAACAGATACAGAACAGGCCGTAACAGCCTTGAATTGAGAGCACCAGTGGCAAGACACTGCTATCACCACATAAATGAACACAAATGGAAACCCCACAATAAAAGCTTTCATAATGTTGACTGACATTCTGCTCTAAAATAAAGCACCTCATGGGGAGCATACATTTCCAAGTCACTCTATCTTGCGTTCTCTGAGAGGTCAGATATCTGTGTACTAGTTGCATTCAGCAGCTGACAGTCATACAAAGTTGCCATGTAAACAGCACAAGAGAAAGAAACTATGAAGATGTTTTTTTTTCCATTCCAATATAATTTATTGAATTCTTTTATCTAAATAAAGCTAAAAAAAAAAAAAAAAGACCATACAAAGGGTGTGTACAGGTGACGTCCTTGCATTCAAGATATTTAGAGAGTCTGCATTTATACTCAAACTTTACAACAGTCTCCATCAGCTTCAGTTATGCTTCTAGTCACGTGGTTTGGTAGCAAAGGTGAGGTATCCTGTGTGTCCTGCCATTTCTCTGGGAGGTGTGGCAGTCCTGCAGATCACAGAGGTGTTCCCAGTGTTTGGGACTTCATCTTGACTAAGATCTGAAGCCACCTGGCTGCTGTCGGCAGAGTCCTCCTCCGGTCCGAAGTCTGGTAAGGGCAGAGTGACAGTACGAACGTCGTGCACCCGGAGCAGAACCTCCAATGTGCAGATCTCCTCAAAGCCATGGTCCAATAATGAGTCTAAAGTACGTACTGTAGCCTACTTTTCTGCGATTTAGTACAATAATTAAATTTAATAATTAAATTTAGCTGGTATCACGTCTATACTTTTAAGCCTCTTGCCATTGTTTACATCTGTTCAAAATCACGCATTTAAAAAAAACCCAAAAAAAACGGAGAGACCGAGTGTGTGACACTCGCGCTCTCTCTTTCTATACCGTGAAATTTTTATCTAAGGTTATCATACCGTCAGAATCTCATACCGGCCCATGCCTATTCCAGATAAAGTTTGAAAGGAGTAAAGCCTTTGTTAATACTATTGAGTAGGCTAATATGGCCAAAGAAGATATTGTTTTATAAATAAATGTTAATTTAAAAGCACCCCACGATCAGCGTATTATGTTACCATTACCCCTTACGGTTCCGACGATGATCGAAACGTCATAGCATTTCCACACCGGCGATGACTGTGGTGCCAAATCATTTATGTCCCCACGCATCATGTACGTTGTCATGCGTTGACATCATCAAATTGTGATCGGTTCGTGAGATCGGCCAAGTGTAGCGAGTACCGATCGAGTCATAAAATGTGATTATCGGCCGATACCGATCTCCGGCCGATCGATCGGAGCATCCCTACTATTTTTTTACTATTTAGTTTATCCACAAAGTGGCAACACTGACCTGGGCCATCGCTTCACACAAATGTTTATTTTTTTTTTAATCACTCAACTTTTGGAGAGAAAATGCGCAATCACTGTACAAGAATGAATCCCTATAGTGTACTTGTCGAGCACCTGTGTTTGCACACATTATCAAATGGAGTATATTTTGAAAGGCTGTGTTCGGCTGTGCATACAAGTACAACACCAAAGTACACTTTGAAATTTAGGAACCATACTTACCTGAAAACTTGCATCAGAATATTACACTTCAGCATGTACTTTCATGGACTCAGTGGAGTAAAATTATTATTTAGAAAATTCCCAGAAACTGTTCTTTTACATGAATAATGTTTGGATCTCCGTGTGACTGCCTATGTCTAACTTTGGCCTCAACTTTGCATCTGTTCTTTATCAAACCACTGAATGAATACACAAATCTCTAGCACTTGTGTTACATTCTGTGCAAACATAAATATCGGTTTATTAGTAGCTTAAATGAATCTCCCTGTTGAACAGCAACAAACGTTACTATTTGTAAAACCTTATCAAACACCCAAAAGGTAAGTTCACTATTGTGGCTGATGTCAAATCAAGCCTGAAACTTGAAATAGACAATATGGAACAAGAACATTTTTATTCAGTGGTTTTTAAGGAAATGCAACTGTGACCTTGTTTTTTTTTTTCTATGTAGATCCACAAACCTCAAGCAGTATTAACTGTTTTAAACTTATTAGCAGACCCAGACAGTGACGTGATATATTCCACATATTTTCTGCACTCATTTCAGGTGTAAATCTGCAGAATTCTGTGGAGTGGATGCAAAGCTTAAGTATTTCACTAGGAGCATCAAACCCAATTGCAAAACCGTTGACTGTCTTCAAACAAACACACAAACACACCCCTTAACTGCCACAGTAAGAAGCCCACCCCAAAAATCACATCATTGTTTGAGCCAATAGTTACGTCACACTCTGTCAGGCTGCTCAAACAACAAAAACAGTAAAAACAGAAATCTGCAAAGATTTCAGCAACCTCTGTGGGCTCAGATTTCATGCAGGCCTGCTGAGAATAGTCAGGAAGTGATGTCATACAGAATATGGTTCCTTATTACTGGAAATATGTTAGCTCATGTAAAGCATGTAAAGGGTCAGAGAGCAGTCGACATGCTCATGTTTGCATATTCTTGCCTTACTGTTTAAACGGTCTCATAATAACCTGGATAAACGGAGGAAGGGTGGTTAAGTGTTTGAGACAGCGATTCTCTTCCACTCCTTTGCCATCTTTCTCCACTAACACGAATGGAGGGAATTTGGACTAAAGGTGGTATTACTAACATGTAAATGAATAGCCACTGCTGATCAGAGTAAGAAGATAGACAGGGTGCTGTGATGAGAGGAGTATATTGAGGAAGACACCTCAATGGGTGGTTTACTCTTTGGATCTTTTTTTAGATTCAATCCAATCACATTCACTTAATCCAGCATGACCCCATCCCTTACTTTCAACATTCATTATAGAACTATAATGAATGGGAACCACTGTAAGAAACCAATCCAGCACTGGTTCAGTTTACCTTTTCTCTGATCCAAGTGCCAAGACTCTCACAGGAGCTGAATCCGGGATCCACTTAAATAGATTAAAACAAACAAATGGTGTCTAAACAAAATTATATTATGAAACAAATCGTTCAGCCCATGGATGCTGATTGGTTAAAGGGATAGTAGACCCAAAATGACAATTCGGTCTTCTTTTGTGTTCTGCAGCAAAAAGAAAGCCATACAGGTACCGTTTAGAATAGCATAAGTGTAAGTAAATGATAGAATTACCACTTTTGGGTGAACTATCCCTTTTAAGCCCTGCTAAAATTCATAATTCATCAACGGTTATGAAAGAAACCCTTTTAGCCATTATTATGTTCACAATAAAGTCTCTCATAGCTAATTGCTTAAATATCAGCTCTGTTCCAAAACCTTAAGAACTACCTTGTGGTCTACTGCCCTCCTCGGCTGCTGCATATGACTAATGACCAATGATTTGGAACATTTGCCATCCTTCTTAAAGGGATAGTTCACCCAAAATTGAAAATTACCCCATGATTTACTCACCCTCAAGCCATCCTCGGTGTATATGACTCTTCTTTCAGATGAATACAATCGGAGTTATATTTAAAAATGCCCTGGCTCTTCCAAGCTTTATAATGGCAGTGAATGGGTGATATTCAATAGTCCAATAGAAGTCCAAAAAACTGCACCAATCCATCATAAAAAAGTGCTCCACACAGCTCCGGGGAGTTTTAATAAAGGCCTCCTGAAGTGAATCGATGCGTTTTTGTAAGAAAAATCTCCATATTTAAAACTTTATAAACCGTAATCTCTAGCTTCCGCTAACTGGTACGCGCATTCACGAGAGAGTTTCAGCAGATGACGTAAGATGTAGGCGTAGCGTATAAGCTCCGGTGAGAGGTGACAAATACGGAAGCGCAGAGGAGAGAGCAAAACAAAACATTGGTCATGAATTAGAAGTACAAAATGAGGATTTTTAAAGAAAAATGTCGGAGGATTTCAATATAAGTTCTTTCAGATGAATACAATCGGAGTTATATTTAAAAATGCCCTGGCTCTTCCAAGCTTTATAATGGCAGTGAATGGGTGATATTCAATAGTCCAATAGAAGTCCAAAAAACTGCACCAATCCATCATAAAAAAGTGCTCCACACAGCTCCGGGGAGTTTTAATAAAGGCCTCCTGAAGTGAATCGATGCGTTTTTGTAAGAAAAATCTCCATATTTAAAACTTTATAAACCGTAATCTCTAGCTTCCGCTAACTGGTACGCGCATTCACGAGAGAGTTTCAGCAGATGACGTAAGATGTAGGCGTAGCGTATAAGCTCCGGTGAGAGGTGACAAATACGGAAGCGCAGAGGAGAGAGCAAAACAAAACATTGGTCATGAATTAGAAGTACAAAATGAGGATTTTTAAAGAAAAATGTCGGAGGATTTCAATATAAGCCAAGAGGAGACTGGTTTTCCTTTGCTAAACAAAGGAATCTTTGCTTCCTTTGCTCTTGTAAACAAAACTTGTTTTTCACGAGACTAGCATTTTCTCACCGGACCTTACGATATGTCCAACGTCATCTGCTGAAATGCCACTCTTTTGTGAACGCGCGTACCAGTTAGCGGAAGCTGGAGATTACGGTTTATAAAGTTTTAAATATGGAGATTTTTTATTGATTCGCTTCAGGAGGCCTTTATTAACCCTCTGGAGTTGTGTGGGACAATATTATTATGATGGATTGGATCAGGGTATTGGACTTCTATTAGACTATTGAATATCACCCATTCACTGCCATTATGAAGCTTGGAAGAACCAGGACATTTTTAAATATAACTGATTGTATTCGTCTGAAAGAATAAAGTCATATACAATGGAGATTTTTTATTGATTCGCTTCAGGAGGCCTTTATTAACCCTCTGGAGTTGTGTGGGACAATATTATTATGATGGATTGGATCAGGGTATTGGACTTCTATTAGACTATTGAATATCACCCATTCACTGCCATTATGAAGCTTGGAAGAACCAGGACATTTTTAAATATAACTCTGATTGTATTCGTCTGAAAGAATAAAGTCATATACACCTAGGATGGCTTGAGGGCGAGTAAATCATGGGGTAATTTTAATTTTTGGGTGAACTATCCCTTTAAGGCTGGAATACACTACACAAATTTTAAAATCTGAACAAAAACACTAGGTATCATACATCTGATGACTTGCTAACTATGCATCATGCACTAAATGATTGAGGATCAGACACTACCAGACTTTCAAGTCACTCAGAACACAAACTCGCACAGAAACCTTCACCTTGTTTCTAGGAGACACATGACAAATGAAATCAATGTATGTTCTAAAATCTGCTCAAAATATTAAACATGCTTGTTATCCTACAACACACTCTTATGGAAATTCATAACTCTTTTAGGTTTTGGCAAATTGGTAGTGAAAGGTGGGATCTCATTCATGCATTTTCATATGATCTGTTTGTGCCTGACTGAATGTTAGGTTTAGGAGTGGACCTCAGTTTTTTTGCTCAGTTTTTTTTTCTCTAAAAATGTACATTTTTGTATGAATCAAATGGAAGTCTGTGCCCATCATACAAATAAGCAATTTTTAGTGAATTCTGTCAACTCCAACAGCCCAAAATCTGCAGACTGGATTGTATTTTCGGCAACTAGTGTCGAGTCCTCCAGACAACAAATTGGGCATAAATCTGTGCAAAAACTCGTGTATAATATTCCAGACTTTAGATGGGATTTTTTTTTGTTTTTGTTTTTTTTGCAGTGGAACTGGAATGTATTATGGGATTGTATTGATTGGAGGACAGCAAACTTTGTTTGATATTTTCAACCAATGTTACGCAAGAAAGCATTGTTTTATTTGTCACACGTCTCCTGGCAACAAGGCACATGTTTGTGTGTGTGTGTTGTGTTCTGGACAACTTGTGTGAGATTCCTAGTTTTTCCTCAAATTATTTACAAAGTCAACCTAGTGTTTTAAAATCTAGCCTTTTGAATTTGGCCAAAAGAAGGGATCTTAGATTCTTTTGGAACTGCTTTTGTGTCTGGAGTGCACTGCTGATGCCTTGAAATTCTGCCTATGTAGGCAGCTTCTAGAATTTGAAACAGGGTGATGTATGGAAAAAGACTCTCGGTGAAGAGCACTAACAGAAGTATATTTCAAGACAGAGAGAGAGAAGTTTATGGTGTCATTCCATTGACAAATAAGGCCTTTCCATGAAAACACAGTCATAAACAGAGACATCAGGTCTCCTGGCAACTGGGGTCTGGGAAAGAAAGGAGTCACGCCAACAGCTGGGATTCTCCATGCACTTAAACCAGAGAACAAGACCAACTATCAGGCCAAAAAGGAGAAGAAATAAAGAAACAGATAGGATGAAGAATCAGTTCAAATCACTACAAACTCTGATTGTTGCATCAAGGTAATAAGATGCATATGTTGTGAGAAGGATGTTAGTAGTCAAGAACAACTGGCTTGTAGTTAACCAAAGCTTTCATAGCCAGAGCTGTGTTTTTCTGTGCTGAAAACTGATAAGTAGTGCACAACACAAGTCAGTTTGTCAAAAGACACAGAAAGAGGCCAACAGATGCGTGTCTGAGCTTCACAGAGCATTGCCTGTGCTCACTTAAGTCTCTCCGCCTGCCCCTTTATGGTCATTACCCTGCCAGCAAAAACATCCAGCATGTGTGTATATTACAAATCAGATAGACTGCGAGTCTTCAAGAGGGGGTGTAGTGTAAAGTGAGGCAAAAATTCCACTTACATGAGACAGAGAGACTTGAGAAAAGATCGCAAGGAGATCCTCTCTGATATTATACTCTTATAATCTTTACGCGCATTTACACATAAAACAATTGCATGTAACATGTTAATTCATCCAAAACGTTTTAAATGAATTATTTCATCATTTTTTGTGAACTCATGAGCAATATACCCACACAATTTCCCTAGTTTTTTTTATTTATTTATTTTTTAAACTAAAGTATGGTTATTGTCAAATTCATTTATCAAATGTATTCAATCCCAGGACCCGTTGCCAATAAACCAATCGTTTAACTGCATCTCAGCTTCAACCTTTACCAAGACAGTAAAGTGATAGGTTAAAAGCCAAGGGCTGTGCATTTTATGAAAATTCCTTTCAATATATTACTGATGCAGGGGAATAAACCATATGAAGATTGCTGACCCCTTACTGGGACACTGACTAGTCTGGGCATGCCCAGTAGGGCAAAGTGGGTAGAGGTTCCCATGGAAACAGCCTCTTGCCAGGTGGTCAGGTCACTTCTGAAGAGACTAGTTCTGACACTGCCACTCGATAAAACCAAATAGTTGTTTCAACAGACTGATCAGAGAGACCAGACAAAACAGATGCACACACACAAGCTATGAATACTGTTCAAACTGGGAAAACTGAAGCCAAAGAAAAAAACAAGATGTAATTATGGAGAGTAATGGGCCTCTGTCAATGTTTCACAGAAGCTGCATCCATAACGGAGATGAAAACCTACACAGAATACAGATTTAAATCAATTATCATGAATCTCACACCAAACCTCCTGTTCCCTGGAGGTTATCTGGCCATTTCTTTGAAGTCAATGGCAGACGAGGGGAGTTAAAGGGATAGTTCAACCAAAAATTAAAATTTGAAAATGAAAACCTTCAAGTTGTTCCAAACCGTTATGAGTTTCATTCCTCTGATGAGCACAAAAGAAGATAGTTTGAATAATGCTGGTAACCAAACAGTTGACGGTAACCATTGAGTTCCATAGTATGGAAAAAAATATTATGGAAGTCAATGGCTACCGTCAACTGTTTGGTTACCAACATTATTCAAAATATCTTTACTTCTTCATTCTTTTATGCTCAACAGAAGAAAGAAAACTCATACAGGTTTGGAACAACTTGAGAGTGAGTAAATTATGATAAATGATAATTTTCATTTTTGGGTGAACTATCCCTTTAAGGAAGATATTACACACTGCACCTTTAAACACAGTGTCACCATGTTTTTTTCTTTTGAAAATATATCCTTATTTCACCATGTTATTCTTTGAAGTACCTTGGAGCACCACGTAAATACAGTACCACGGTATATTGAATCAAAGTACCACACTTATACTTTTAATAAGTGTTTGCAAACTGTACATTTTTGTGCCAATACCACTTAAGTGTCTGAAGTTTTGTGTTCATAAAGGTCACTGTGGTATTTATATCTTGTAACTTGAAGACTCATTTCAGTGGCTTCATCTGTGAGGAATAAGTCATGGCGACAGAGTACCACATGACATTTAGCATTAATATGGTCAAGTCATTACCATAATATGGTAATGTCGCTTTAGTTATTTCACAGTTATGTGCTCTCACCTTTGCGTTTCATGGCACTCTTGGCATGTGTGATTGCCTCCCACGGAGAGGGGATGTCTAAAAACACCGCATCAGCTATTCCTGTGATGTTAAAGCCATCCTTGCACACATCCTGGTTTCTAACAGTAACCAGGTGAGACACCTTGTGCTCCTTGAACTCCTGGACGGCCTTTTCGGCTCGCTGAGCGTGGAACTCCACTGTGTGCAGGTGACCGGTGGGAGCAATGGTCCGCAGAATAGAGTGAGACAGAGAGCCGCTGCCTGTACCTGGAAGACAGGCACAAAATCTACTGTGATAAGCCATGGGAATAAGAGGTCTGAGTTTGATATTAACTAGACTGATATTAAAAGTTCAATATTCAAATTAATACTAATTACCCTGTTTTTTTTAGATGCCTACACATGATACAACAGCTTCAGACACTGAATATTAATCAGAATTTGGTCATATTCCAATTATGCACCTCGTTACCATAATATTAAAGGCATAGTTCACCCAAAACTTAATTTACTCACCAGACTTTGGTTAATCTTTGAAACACAAATGAAGATATTTTTATTGAAACCTGAGAGATTTCTGTCCCACCACTGAAATTCTATTGCACCAAAATATTCAAGCTTCAAAAAGTTTATAAAGAGATTGTAAAATTAATCCATACGCTTTTCCATAATCTATAAGTTTTCCATAAAACATGATCTGCATTTAATTTTTATTCACATATAAAGTGATCAGCACACACATTGGAGTTTCAATCCACCATATTTGATGTGATCTACGTTATGTGCATTGTTCAATGTGTCTATGTGAATAAAAGCCTAAAGTACTTTTACAAAGTTTTTTTTATTTTTTTTACTTTTATGAACTGGACTTTCAATAGACGGACAGAAATCAACAGAAATCTCTTCGTTTTTTTAAATAATTTTTTTTATAAATATCTTCATTTCATTTGTGTTTCACAGATGAACTAAACTTATGGGTTTGGAATGACATGACATGAAAATGAATAAATGATGACAATTCTCTTCATTGGGTGAACTATTTTAAGCCAATTTTTCAGCTACTAGAAATCTCAATACCACAACTGGCATATTCCTGTGTTCATCAAAATTTGGGTCATAATATGCACCATAAACAATCTTTAAATCTGTGCAAAAAGGGAGTTCCCGGTGATTACATTTTTACTTGTTACTGGAATACATCTGTAATGAACATCTTTTTCAAATAAAGGCATAAACTTAATTACAAAATGACCTCAACTAGACAACGTGTACATAAACGTAGTCAATACCCTCCTCTGTGCAACTAGACCATCTTTACATACACAAGAAGATTCAGATAGTATATAATAGTATCAAATCAAATAATCAAAATCAGAGCGATTTCGCCTATATTAGGGAGAAAAAAGTAATTGACAGAGTAACTGACAACACCATAGTGTCTTGCACACAGTCTCATGATCTACATTTTCCAGTTCATTGCACTGTTGTGTGCTGTTGTCAATGAGATGAATTAGAATTAATGAGCTGATTAAGTTGCTGTGCAAAATAACACTAACTGAAAAACTGACAGTTTTCTATTGTCCTTTTGCATTATCAGCACGCTTTTCCTGTTTAACACTGTAAAGCTGCTTTGACACAATCTGTATTGTATAAAGCGCTATATAAATAAAGGGGACTTGACTGCAATAAATGGCAAAAGTAAGCATCTCCAGTATTTTCACAAGAGAATAGCAGAAATACTACATGAATGTTTAGTATTCTGTCCACTACCATGAATATTCCAATAACAGAAAACCTCTGTTAGAAAAACTAATCAGAAAAACACATGCATATAAAAGTGGTAATTTAAAGTTAAATACAGCAGTCACGTGTGCATGCGCGTGTACATTGTGATGCACGTGCATGTGAACACGTTCTGGTGTTAAGGGCCCATCTTCCTCTTCAAGAATCCATTATTAGCATGCCTTTTGTTCTCATAGCAACAATAGGGTCAATGTTCGGTCTACAGCGTTGCATTCAGATAGAACAGAATGACTGATGTAAGACGAGAGGCTCAGCAGGGGAGAAAGAACACACAGAAAGTTTCAAAAGAAATGTCCTTTAGTATCCTTGTATCCATAGTATCCTTGAATGATGATAAACAAGCATCAATACTGCACACATATGCCAAATCTGTGGCACAGTCAGCCTCACCTGAACACTGCTCAGATATCAACATATTAAAAGCACATCCAGCTCAATGAGTTTAGAGGGCACTGAGAACAGAGCAGAGTGTGTTGTGTGTGTACGCTCAACAGCAGTTTAATTGATTCATTCAGAATACAAGAGGCCCAGCACTTACTGAATGGGCCAACTAGCCAAAAAATCTCGTCTCCATCAAGATTTCTCTGCCTAACCTACTCTGCCCACTGCAACCTAACTACATTTTTTACAATAGACATTGTTTCAAAGCAGTTTACATAATCATGATATTATCTGTATTTTCTATATAATCACTTTTCATGAGCATACCGTATGTATGCAGATAAAGTTGGTTGGATACACTTCTATATCGAGCTTTGTATAGAGAGATGTGCGATAATGCAGTTTACATTTTGCAATGATATAAACCAGGGTTTCCCAAACAGGGGTTCATGAGATGATGAAAAGGCAATAATTAATGAAAACGAATGTAACATTAAAATAAACGAGGAGGAGCACAATTAATCAAAGTAAAACCAAACTTGATATATCTTATCAAATCGAGATTTTCAAAACAAAAGCTGATTTAATTAAGTATATAATCTGTTATGCTGGGCGAAGAGTGGCAATGTGTTCATTTACACGCTTGCGGCTTTTAAGACTGTTTTCAGAGCAGCTCGGTTCACAGTAAATGCTGCTTCTCAAACTCCATCTCTGCAAGCTCTGTGAATTTAATGTGCATTTGGGAATGCAATGTGCGCTAGGTTCACTTTATTTTATTTACATTCACATAACTGTCAACATTTTTGTGGGCAGTTGTTTACAGCATAGGTTTCTTGAAAAGAGTGAAGTCTGAACATCCTTAAAAGTAACTATTTTCATTAGCAGTAGAGTATGTGTTATTTGTCTCTGGATGTCTCAGCTGTAGCAATATGAGACATGAAATTTGTTTATGGATAAAATGTCATATCACAGTTCAAATCGCAATTCCAATATATGAAAAATTGTTTTGTGGTTTTATGTGCCATTCTATAGGCCTATATGATTTTTTTTCTGCTTACATGCATGTCATGTGACCAATTACCAACATCAGAGAATAATGAAAATGCAAATGTGTTGTTAAATAATTGTCCGTTACAGAAGTGCAAGCCTAAAATTCAAAGACTTTCCAAAACATACAGAGACAGACAACAGGGTAAAACAAGGGAAAACAGTAGCAGTGTTTTACAAGATGTAATTTGATGGAATATTTGTTTTGTTTTTTTAATTGATACGACAAACTTGCAGAGTTTCTTCTTGACAAGTAAGCTAAACTTATTTTAAACTAAACTGAAATTGAAAGCAGCCTACTTCTACATGTTGAGACGCGCTTTCATTTTTACCTGGGGCTTATAGCATGAAGCCAGTTTAGCTGGCTAGCCAGATAAGTATTAGTTTAGTTTGCACCAACTCTTAAGAGTGTTTTTTGATTTGCTGTTTGCTACTGATGACACGCTTTCATGTGCATGCGCTCCATGAACTCAGGAGGTATTTACACGACACCATTTTCAACTAAAACCAATTTTTTTTTAATGCGTTTTGGTCATTCATTTACACGACAGTGGCAATTTGGATACGCAAATGGGGAGCACTGAAGAAGAGCAAGTTTTTGAAAACGATACAGTTATTGTCTCTGTGTATACTATGAAAATTTGTGAAAACCGTGAGGTCATACCCATGAGCATTACGTGTTCAGTCTATAGGAATGCGTGTGTGTAGGCGCGTAGTGTTCCTTTACAAAGTCACATCGCCAACTATTGGCCAGGCATGCATAATACCGCGTTTAGTCATTTTCGCGGATCTGTGTAAACTGGAATCGTTTCTGATGACGTTTTCATCTGTATGCGAAAACCTTTGAATTTTTAGTACAATCGTTGTCATGTAAACGTATCTTAAGTTTTAAAGCCTGAGTTGACAGAGAAAGTTGATGATCAGTGTGCCTGAGTGGATTGGTTTGATTTTGTCAACTCAAAACTAATTCTGTAACCCTGAGTATTGAAGATCTCTAAAAAAAAAAATCAGAATAAAAACCTTTTGATGGTTCATAGCTGAAGAAAGACGCATTCTTACCTGACTCGCAGACGACAGAGCCCGGTTTGAGGTCCAGCAACAGTGTGATGTTGGCAATGTCTGTGGTGTAGAGGATCTGTGTTCGGTGGGGAAGGTTGACAGTCCACAGCTCTGGTGTGGGGTGCAGCACGTAAACCCAACCACCCTTACTGCAGGTCACTTTGGAACCAAACCGCTGTCCAATCAGGTCACTGGAGTGCCGGATGACCCCATAGCGGGTCTGCGTCTGAGCTCCTGACTGAACCTTAATAGGCATCATGGACTCATGACCCAGGAAGATAATGATGACATCCCCTTCTTGGATGATCTCGGAGTATTCCACAAAACTCATGAGGTACAGCGGGGTTCAGCTTCAATGAAGAGTGTGGCCTTGGATGATTCAACACTGCTCTGCCATGAATGAAAACACATTATTCTCATAAGTTGGTAGACAAAACATTTACTTTCCTATTTACATTCACTCATATTACTTTATAGACTTAAGTGAATATTCGTACCAACTTTTTAAAAAATTTATATCGTTGTGTTTCTATAAAACGTAGACTTTTAGAAATGTTCTCTCTGGTCAAACTCTATTAACAGTAAATAGATTCTGAACAACCGCAGGATGTCAAAAAGGATGCAAATTAAGAGCTAAAGTTGAGGTAGAGTTACCTTACTTTAGAAGGTCAAATCAAAGTTGTCAGTCTTTTTAAATCCTGATAATTTCACAATTTCTGTACATATAGAGTGAGACAAACCAACAAATACAAAACAAACATTACAAATCCACAGTGCTGTTTACTTCTTGTAGGGTAATGTCTTATTGGCTTTTGTCAAACTTAGAGGTGGATTATCAAAACTTGAAATATTTCCCTTTTATGTTAAAGGGGTCATATGATGCTATTTTAAAGATCATTATTTGGTGTAACAGAATCTGTTGACATGCTTTAATGTTCAAAAAACACATTATTTTTTAAAATACTGTACATTATTGTAGGTCCTCTATGCCCCCATTTGAGACTTTAGTCTTTGCAACGTTACAGATCTTCTTTATGCACCAAGAGCTTGTAACACTCCAAAGAGAAAGGACAAATTGAAATCGCATCATATGACCCCTTTAAGTTCAAAAATAAATTACACAAAAACGCTCAAACCAATGAAGTAACATAAAAAGTCTAATATTACTATTAAAAATATAATATTGTGTTAGAATGATCGTAGAAAACTGACTTTAAAAGTTTAATATTTTTCCAATATGAAGATTTATATACAGACACACACACACACACACACACACAATAAAGCAATAAAAACGGTCATCATTTTTTATTGACGTATAACACGGTAATCTTTTATTTATAGGTTAATACGTACACATACCTACAGACTGAACAAAAAATAAATAAATATTTATTACCATGTTATACGTCAACTACTCAAAGTCCAGTCAGTGTGTATTTTGATTTAAATGTTTGCAAACCGTTAGAGTGTCCGTTAGCAGCAGCCTGTTAAGACTCAACATTACATTACCAGCGCCTGTGTGTACCTACAGTCCTGAGACGGCTCATAACAGCAAAACAAATGGGTCAGATGTAAGTTAACCTGTAAACAATGCATTTAATCATCTTTGTGAACATTTTTATTAATTTATGTGTAACACTCAGCAAGGTCTCCGTCCTTAATGACCTGACGAACAGGAGAAACCGAGTGGCTAAATGCGCTAAACAGCGACTTCGATTATATGAGCACAGATATGCTCCTATGCGCGATTATGTAGAGATATACATCTTTTTACAAACAACAGGAGGGCTACACTGAATATGAAATAACACTTGTTAAAGTACCATTCATTACATCGCGAGCAAACTTACTTAGTTTCAATAAGTAAACAGTACCCGTGCGGTGTTGGAATGGAAACGCGTCACACGTTTGAACGTACATCGCTCAACATAAAGATCTGTTTAACATAAAGAAAGACTCGGAAACTCACCGTTCCTTTGGCCAGACTGTAGGTTTATGTTTGGGAAGGAGCAGAAAGTCAGTACAGCACGTGTGTGTGGCTAGTTAGCTTGATAAACCGCATGTAACGTTACGTGCAGACGCGGTCTACAGAGCGGCGCTTTACCTCATGTGGGTGGACTCAAGCGCATGTGAACGCGTTGCCTTCCATTTACAAATCTACCTCTAGTCGCAAAGCGTCAACTTCACACGACTCAATCTGTCTCAGGAAAATGATGTAAGAGTATTTTAAAGAAACATTATCCGTTGCATAAAACGAATATTTGCGTGGTGGTTTAACGTTAGATTCACTAGGATGGTGTTTTCCAGTCCCACAACCCAAAGGCTGAAGTATCCTTTCAAATCAGAAATGTGCTCCTGTTAACATAAGTCATCTCATACTGTATATCATTTAGCATTATATATATATATATATATATATATATATTATTATATATATATATATATTATTATTATTATTAAATATACTTTTAAGCAAAAACAATCAATACTGTGAGTGACAAACAGCAACACATGGGCATCCACACACATGTAACGTTATAAGATTTTCACACATTATACATTATGCTGTTTGTTTTCTTTTTAAAAAGGAAATTATTACATCTTAATCCATTTCTAAGTCCCAGTATAAATCGTCATTTATTTATTTATTTATTTTACAGGTCAAACACTTTCCAAGTCAATTGCCTGAGAATTAACATTACTTGACTATGATATAAACTTAATTCAATTAAGCTTATATTTTCTTATAATTATATATTTGCACGTTTTATATATGCTACATATTTGTTGAGAGCAGTCAAATTATTCCAATATCAAGCTCTTCCAATGGGATGAATGGACTGCAAATAGCAGCCAATGGGAGCTGCTTTCTTGTACTATAAAACAAACGCTCCATCACGATCTAGTGCTGGAGAGCAGACAGACGCCACATAGAGTTCATACTTCTTCCTCTAGCTCTAGCAGCCCACAACCCACGGTAAGTCTTCATTGAGAAGTTTTCATCTCTCATTAAATTCGGAGCTTAAGCGAGATCGCAATTTAAAATTTAGTTTTAAGTAAAAGAAAATTCTTTAGAAACGGCGCTGAATGATTCTGGATAAGCGTTTTGATCGGTAAGTCTTGGTTTTCAGCGCATCTCCGTATGTAGGGCATTAGACGCGTGGAGAGGGTTCGATCGACTCTGTATTAGAGATTAATACGTAAAAAATGATTTTTTTATGAGTTGAGGTATTATACTGTATCATGCTTTTTCTGAACATTTCTAGGCTTCTTGTGAAAGAAAGCGTCCCATATTCAGGTCATGATCTATAATGACAGCTCACTCTTTCTCTGTCGTTAAAGTGGTGCCGTCCAGTGGACGCCCAATTTTAAGTCATATCCTCCATAGCATCGATCGTTCGAAACCGAAATAACATCGATAGCATACGAAAGTTTGAGCATTTCATTTGAGCACAACGATGAGCAGATATTTCGTGCTGAAATAGATCTGCACCATCTGGC